CAGAAATAAGACTAGTCTCCCGGGGATAGGAGAACAGTATCCAGACTTACTACAAAATAGTACCTATGAGATCTGCAAAGAAACATAGATACTTGACCTGTACACACAACATCCAGGCAACAAAAACTGCCTGTGTACCGACCCGGAGGCTGAATTTAACAAAGTTCTTCAAAACAACCATCACAAATATGTTCAAAGACTTGGAGGAAACTATGTTAAAGAAGTAAACCGAAACGAAAAGGAGAAAAATTATAAAATAGAAGCAAATGGAAATTCTGGAGTTGACAAGTATAATAACCAAAAAAAATTCACCAAAAATTCACTAGAGGGAGTCGACATTAGATTGCAGGAAAAAAGGTTCAGCAAACATGTACATCAAGAGGGCTTATGTAATCCAAAGAGCAAAGAAAAAAAACACAGGAAACTGAACAAAGGCTCAAAGATGGGACATTGATAAGCACACAACAGGCATGGAATGGAAGTACCAGGAAAGGAGAGAGGGGAACAGAAAACACAAAGAAATAATGGCTGAACTCCCCCAAACTGGTGAAACACATTAATCTACATATTGAAGAAGCTCAACAAAGTCCAAATAGGACAAATATAAAAAACAAAGAGATGCACATATCGTACTAAAAATGCTACAGATCAGAAACAACGATAAAGTTTTAAAAGCAGTTTTATTGGGTTGAATACTGCCCTGCAAAATCCATGTCCTTCTTGGAACCTCAGAATGTGACCTTATTTGGAAACGGGGCCACTGCAAATCCACCTAGTTAGGATGAGGCACACAGGAGGAGGGAACCCTGACTCACATGGGACACACAGGAGAGCCATGTGAGGACAGCAGCAAAGACTGCAGCGATCCGTCTACACGCCGAGGAAATCAAGGATTACCGGCAACACCAGAAGCCGAGAGAGATCTTCCCCTAGAGCAGCGATTTGCAGCCTTTCTCAGCTCATAGCACACAAATTACTAAAACTCTGCAGCCCAACAAAAAAATGTTTTTTTCATATATGACCAAAAAATAGATATAATTTTGATTCATTCACACCAGACGGCTACTGTTGTGTTGCCTGTTGTCATTTTTTACTGGACAGTCTAAGGGAAAAGAGGTCAGTGCCCTGACTAGCCAGGTAGCAAGTGGTTTAAAACTTCTTGCGGCACACCGGTTAGAAATCGCTGTTCTGGAGCTTTCTAGAACGTGGCCCTGCTCACTTACACCTTGATTTCAGATGTCTAGCTTGCAGAACTGCGAGAGATTACATTTCTGTTGTTCTAAGCTAGTGAGTTGGTGCTAACTGTTCCAGCAGCCCTAGGAAACTAACACAGCTGGAAAAGAAAAACAACTCAACACAACACAAGGGACTCCCAACATGCGAACTGTAATGAGTGAGCGAAAGCTGTGGGCACTCACAGCACAAAAGAACGAGCAGCCACGGAGCTTACATGCAACCAGAACTAACTTTCAAAAACAAACAAAAATAAGTCAGCACAAGAGCAGAGCTGCCAGATAAGAAACACTAAAGGACGTTCCTCAGGCTGAAAGCAAATGACCCCAGACAGCAACTTAGTCCCCAGAGGAAAAAGGGGGGAGGGGAATCAATAAGGTAATTATAAAAGACAATTACTTGCATTTTCTCCTGTTTACTCTTTCTTTTTATTGATTTTTTTTAGAGAGAGAAGAAGGGAGAGAGAGATAGAAACATTGTTGAGAGAGAACATTGATCGGCTGCCTCCTGCACACCCTCACCAGGGATCCAGCCCACAACCCAGGCATGTGCCCTGACCAGGAATCAAACTGGGACCTCTCAGTGCATGGGACCACGCTCAGGCCATCAAGCCACACAGCCAGACTCTCCCGTCTACTCTTAATTGACTTAAAGACCAAGCTGTAAGTATAACAATGTAAACATGCTTAAAGCCACAGAACTGTACACTTAAAATGTTTAAAATAATACATTTTAGGTTATCAACATTTTTTTTTTTATCCTCACTGGAGGACATTTTCCACTTTTGTGGAGGGGGAGAGAGGAAGGAAGGAAGTCAGATAGAGAGGAGGGAGAGAGAAAGAGAAAGAAACATCGATGTGAAAGGGACACATAGAGTGGCTGTCTCCCGCGCAACCCCAACCAGAGCTGGGGACAAACTGCAGCCAAGGTACATGCCCTTAGCAGGAACTGAACCCGGGTCTCTCTGGACCGCAGCCCCACGCTCTGACCGCTGAGCCAAACCGGCCAGGGCAAGGTTACATTTTACTGTAGCAAAAAAAACACACCCAAATTTATGAAATGTATATATAATTGTACTACTGGTCCTATAAACCAGAGAACATAATATATCTGACAACAATAGCACAAAGCAGGTAAGTGGGAAACAAAATTGTATTGCAATAAGGAAATGACACCAAAAGCTAACTTGAACCCTCAGCAACAAATAAAGGCAACCAGACATGGAATTCACTTAGTATCAGAACTAACCAATGAGGTCAGCAAGATTCCAGGATATAAGAAAATAGAAAAGTCAATTGTACTTCCACACTTGCAGTACACAATATAAAATGAAACTAAACAATTCCATCTACAGTGGCATCAAAAATAATACAATACTTAAGAATAAATCTAACAAAACACATGCGACATATTCTGAAAACTACAAAAAAAAGGTTAAAAGAAACTCACAAAAACCTAAGTAAGTGGAAAGACACCCCATGTTAAAACCGAAAGACTTACTTAACACTGTTAAGATGGCGCTACTGCCCAAATTGATTATAGAGCAATGCAATCTCTATCAAAATCCCAACTGATTTCTTTGGAGAAATTGGCAAGTTGATCCCAAAATTCATGAGAAATCCTGAATAGTCAAAACTATCTTTAAAAAGAACAAAGTTGGAGGACTAAGATTCCCCAATTTCAAACCCTACAAAGCTCCAGTAATCAAGACTGTGTGGTACTGGTAAGCACAGAGAACAAGGGGAAAGAACTGGGAATCTACAAATATTTGTATTTAAAGTCAGTTGATTTTCAACAAGGGTCCCAAGACAATTCAATGGGGCATGGACAACTGGGTAGCCACATGCAAACGCATGAAAAGCCTTATCTAACACCACATGTACACATTAACTCACAATGGGTCATAGATCTAAGCGTAAGCACTAAATGGGAGAAAATATCTGCCAATTTTATACACACACACACACACACACACATACATATATACATATGAATGAACAGGAACATGTATCTAGAATGAAGAATTCATAACTCAATAATGAAAAGAAAAATAACCCAATTTAAAAAATGAGCTAAGTATCTGAAGAAACATTTCTCCACAGAAGACATAGAAATGGCCGATAAGCACATAAAAAGATGCTCAGCATCATCAGCCATCAGGGAAACGCAATCAAAACCATGAGATACCACATCATACCCAATGGTACCACGTGGTACCCACCAGGAGGCTACACACACACAGATACAGAAACGAGCGCTGGCAAGGGCGAGGAGAAACTGGAACCCGCACGCGGACACAATGTAAAAGGCACAGTCATTTTGGCAAACAGCCTGGCAGTTCCTCAAAAGATTAAACGTGGAGCTACCATATGACTCACATGATAAATGGATAAATGAGATATAGTATTATCCATACAGTACAATAGTATTTGGTAATAAAGACATATGAAGTACTAATAGATGTTACAACATGAATGAATCTTAAAAACATGCTAAGTGAAAGAAGCCAGTCACAAAACAACAAATACTGCATTATTCCATCTACGTGAAATATCCAGACTTGGCCAATCTATACAGACAGAAAGCAGATTAGTGGCTGGGATCTGGGGAAAATGGAGAGTTACTGCTAATGGGCACAAGGTTTCTTTTTACAGTTATGAAAATGTGTTAATATTGATATGAATGCACACTGTGAGTATACTAAAAACTACTGAATTGTACACCTTACAGGGTGAATTACATTGTATATAAACTATATCTCAATAAAGCTGTTTTTGTTTTGTTTTATTAAATGCAAAGGTGCCAATCTCTGGACACATTTAGCTACATAACAGTTAAATGGAATTCTTTTTAAATTATTTTTGGAGAGGGAGAGAGAGATAGAAACATCTGTGAGAAAAATACATCAATGGGCTGCTTCCTGCATACCCTTCACTGGGGATCAAGTCTGCAACCCGGGCATGTGCCCTGACCAGGAATCGAACCAGCGACCTCTTGGTCCATGGGCTGATGCTCAACCACTGAGTCATGCAGCTGGGCAAATGGAATTTTCATTGGTGAATTTGTACTTATAGTTAACATAAGACTGCTAACTAAGGAAGTCCCCCACGGAGTCAGTAAAGTGGTATATGAACCAGAAAAGGTTTCAAAACCACTGCTCTGGAAAAGTCTCACATTTCCTCAGAAAGTGATACACCCAGCAAGTCCACTCTTAGGTATATACAGAAAAGAACTAAACACTTATATCCACACAACAACTTGTACATATGATGTTTACAGAACCGCTATTCACAATAGCCTCAAAGTAGAAACCCCAAATGCCATCAACTGATAAATGGACAGACAGATGTGGTACATCCACACAGTGGCACACTGTTCAGCCACAGAAGGAACGAAGTACTGAGTCACGCTACAGCATGATGAACCCTGGAAAAATTATTCTGAGAAATCAGACACTGAAGACCACATATTGTATCATTTTGTTCATATGAAACATCCAAAACAGGAAAATCCAGAGACAGAAAGTGGTTTCAGTGGTTGTCAGGGGTGGGGGGGCGAGAGGGGAATGGAAATGACCGCTAACGGGAATGGGGGCGATGAAAATATTCTCGAATTAGAACGCAGAGCTGTTGTGCAGCTTTGTGAATATACTATAACTCACTGAACTTCACATTCTATAAGGGTGAATTTTATGGTGTAAAATTAAACTTCAATTTAGAAAGCAAGTTTCTTAATACTACAAATACTAATCAGATATGCAAACTTACCAAAATTCTTTTACGATCCTTTTCTGACAAAAATTTTACTGGCGGGTATTTCTGGGTGAAGCTGTAGAATACAAAGAGATTAAAGAAGAAAAAGTCAGACACCTCACATGAGTATTTTCTCTGCCCATCATCAAAGCAAAGGCCAGACTTGAGACCTGTTACTGGGTGTTCCTTCTCTCTCGGCTCCAAGTAGTGTGCAGGATCCAAGCAGGCAGTGGCTGATCCGCATTCAAGAAATAGCTAACCTGCTCCTTGTTTCAGATCAAGCCGAGGCCAGGCCGTGCGAGTCTATGCCCAGGAAGGGAACACCGAGGGCTGCGTAGGCTACCAGCAGCCAGAGCAAACACAAAAGGAGAGGTGGTGGCTTCTCGGGTGGTGTGGGGGCCTGGAGGATGAAGCAGCTTCGCCAAGCCGCACTCCCAGTGCAGGCGCTGCCGCGGGAGTAAGGGACCTTGACTAAGCCGAGTCTCCCGATCCGGGCAGGTTCACAATTCCAGCGCCCCTCCCAACCCTGCTCCCGGGCAAAACCGCCAGGTATCAGTGCTTTCGACTCTCCCAATCTGCTGGGAACCTACAATGTGTCTCCTCTTTCAGTGCCCTGGCCCCAGGCACGGGGCCATGGGTCCGGACCCACACTGATATTCAGGGGCAGGAGAGCATCGGATGAAAAATGAGAATTGCTAAGTGCAGATTTCAAATAGCCTTTCTTAAAGTGCTTTGAATAAATCCCCCAACAGGCTTCACTGTTACTGTTTTAACTGGAGAGGTGCTGGGCAGGGGCCCTGTCTCTATTCCCTCCATACCCCCCGGCCGGGACACTGAGCGCATTTCCTCAATGGCTACGTAGTGACAGACAACGACAGGTCATTAGACAGCGGCCCGGAAGCGGGTGCTCCTCATCTGAAAGGACAACACGCTGGAGCTGGAGCTGGAGCAGGAGGGCTTTCCTCCACAACCCAGACCATCCCCTATTAGGAGCTCCAGAGTCTGAGCAGGTCAAGTTCCCCTACAGATACCAGAACAGGCAGGAATGTGGGGAGAGAGCCTGCGGGAGGGGTGGGAGCCCAGGGTTCCCCTTTGTTAGTTCCGGGCCCTCAGTCTCCTGTCTGCCAGGCAGGGGTCTTTTTTCATTTTTAACACATTTCTCTATTCCAGTTGACATACTATGCATTAGTTTCTGGGGTACACCCTAGTGATTAGACATCTATGTAGGTCATGAAGTGACCACCCCAACGGGACAGGGTTGTTGGTAGGACATCTGCCACCCCGGTGCTTCCGCTGCGGTGAGCACGGCAAGTGGCCTCCAGGGAGGGAGCCCACAGGTGCCCTCGGGGGTGGCACTTTCTGTCACTCCGAACCTTCGAACCTTCCGCAGTAGCAAGCACAGGACAGAGGGAGCTCCAGCAGTGCTGCCGAGCCACCCACACCTGCCCACCCTCGTCTGCTCAGCCCGCACTCCACACAGCCCCGGGCTCCAGCCCGCGGTCACGCAGCGGCGCGCACCGTCCTGACGCCGCGGCCCTTAACACAGGTCCGCATGCTGTGGGGACCCCAACCATACAATTATCTTCGTTGCTACTTCATAACTGTAAGTTTGCTTCTGTTATCTTTTAGGCGACCCCTGTGAAAGGGTCATTCAATCCCCAAAGTAGTCGAATAAAGTAAGGATCAAATAATAAATCTTTTCCTACATCCCCAAGTAATCCCTTAGTAACTACTTAATGCTACTTCAGACTCCAACCTTACTATTTAATGGGATAGCCAGTAAAGAAGATTTTCTTAGAACTTAAATGGTCATTGTTTGCTATCTACTCAAAGAACATTTAAAGACATGATGAAATTTTAACAGTGGCATGTAATCAAAGAATGGAAGAGAAAAGCCCACATGAGCCACTCACTCAGACTTCTAGATGAGCCCTGTACCCATTTCTTTCCCTGAAAAAATATAATCATTACCTTTCAAAAACATTTCTTGGGGGCCACTTTGCTCAGAGTGACAAGCACGTCAAGACAACATCACTCCCAGTCACATTCTCGTCTTGCCAGTGTTGAGATGGTGCTTTGGTCATTCTTATCACGTAGCCAGTCAGAAAAATAAAACCAGCCAGAGCTCCAGCAACTTCCACCACTAAGTCATGTGCTTGACTTTCTAACCAAACATAACTCAGGCTCATCTGTCACTGATGCTCACCGATCTGAAGAACAGAACCATTTCACAGTAACTAGTGGGACAGAGCCACGAGGCAAATTCTTAACCTCAGCACCTACTTAAAAGGCAACTCGGAGTGCCTGAGAAGCATAAGTTGCTGGTCAATTTCTAAGATTATACTCACACCTGTGCTTCTCCCTCTGGGTTAAAAAGCACAGAGAGGTGGTTCAAGAAGCCTACAAAGGAAGATCTGAACTTACCTCCTCCCATAGACACAACAAGGCTACAGCTTCACAGGGAACAATCTGCTCTGAAAACGAGCTAGACAGTTCCTTCACGACAAGGACAAAAGGGCCACATCGAGTCGGGAAGCAGAGGCAGAAGACTCCGTCCCACTAAAAACCCCACCCCAGGCGTGGTGACCCACAATCAGGAGACAGCTCACAAATACAAAGCTTCTCCCTGAGAAATGAGGGTTTGTGCCCCACACCGAGCACCCCAACCCTTGGAACCTGCATGGGAGAGATGAGCCGCAAAACATTTGGCTTTGAAACACAACAGGGTTTGCTTCCAGGAGAGCCATAGGGCTGCCAGTAACAGAGATTCACTCTTACAGGCTGTGTGAAGACTCGTCTGCCGAGGGACCCAGCACAAAGGCAACAGTTTAAAAAGCATCTATGCCACCTGTGAAAGAGAATCATTTACTAATTTTATATATTTACTTATTTTTTTATCATCCTCACCCGAGGACATTTTTCCATTTTTTGTTCAGGTAGAGTGGGAGGGAAAGAGAAGAACAGAGAGAGAGAGAGAGAGAAATATTGACGTGAAAGGGACACATTGAGTGGTTGCCACCCGCACGACCAACCAGGGCTGGGGACAAACTGTAACCGAGGTACGTGCCCTTAGCGGGAACCGAACCCGGGTCTCTCCGGACCGCAGGCCGATGCTCTAACCACTGGGTAAAACCGGCCAGGGCTCATTTACTAATTTTAAAGCGTCTGCTGGAAGGCAGGAGACAATCAGGGCTCTCTCCGGGAACGGGGGCACTGGTGGGAGGCATCTCTGCATCCTCCCTCTGCCTTGAGTGTCGGTGGACACCTTTTTGCACTCTGCCTCTGACCTGCTGACGCCAGAGCAGGGACCTGCACCGCTCCCACAGCCCCAGCCAGGTGAGCTGGCCCACGCAGACATCCCCGAGGCACCTGTGCTTGTGACCAGAAGGAACTGTGCTTCTGGGCCCCACGGATCCGAAACAAGTGGACAGACAGTTCTTGGCAGGCTACCACCCCCAGGCCATGGCACAGGCAGCAGACTGAAACACACCCCAGCCTTCCTGTGAAACAGGCCTATTTACTTGTCCTGCAGCTTCAGCGTGAGTGGCAGGCTTCAGACATAACACACACCCAGAGGGAAGGAAGTGCTCTCAGAGAACGTGGGCCAGGAGAAGCCATCTTTGCGTTGTCCCTTGGACAGCGACTGCTCGCCAGTATCGCCCAGAAAGGAGCTCAAACACTCGCCTGGAGCCCTGGTTTTTGCAGCTATTGCCGAGAAGGACACTGCTGACTCTCCTGGTCTGGAAGCCAGCAGGGTTCACCACTGCGGTCCCACGGGGCTGTACTGGCATACTGGATGAGCTGCTCCCTACCAGTCTAGATTACAATCAGCCTGAAACTAGGTGCTGACTGAGGTACTACTCTTGGCATCACTCACAGGTCTTGGCACCACATCAACAACGAGGACGTTCCAAGAATAAACCAGAATGCTTAGACAATCACCAGGTTCAAGAGGCAACCAAGAGTCAGGGAAAGGTTAAACAGTAAGGTTCATCTCCTACACATGACCATTCCTTCAAGACTGGGAGAGAGACAGGTGTTTCACCTAATACATAGAAACAAACAAAGAGAGTTAAGCAAATGAGGAAACAAAGGAATATATTCCAAATGAAAGAGAACAAGAAAACCCCAGGAACAAACATAATAAAACAAAGATAAATAATTTACCTAATTAAGAGTTTAAAGTAATGATCATAAAGATGCTCACCAAACTCAAGAGAAAAATGAGTGAGCACAGCACAAACTTCAACAAAGAGAAAATCTAAGTATCCAACAAATGTCATCGAGCTGAAGAATAAAAAAAACTAAAAAAATACAGTAGAGGGGTACAATGGCAGACTAAATGAGGAAAAAAGAATCAGTGACCTAGAAGACAGGGCAGTAGAACTCACCTAATAGAGCAGCAAAAAGAAAAAAGAATTTTTTTTAATTTTTATTTTTTTATCCTCACCCAAGGACATTTTTGCATTTATCTTCACATAGAACAGTAGGGAGAGAGGCAGGAAGAGAGAGAGAGCAAAACATTGACATGAGAGAGACCCATCGAGTGGTTGCTACCCACACGACCCAAACTGGGGCTGGGGACAAACAGCAACCGAGGTACATGCCCTTGGCAGGAACTGAACTCGGGCCTCTGGTCCACGGGCCAACACTCTAACCACTGAGCCAAACCAGCCAGGGCAAGAAAAAAGAATTTCAAAAATTGAAGATGGCTTAAGGGACCTATAAGAAAATATCAAGTGAAATAATATTCATATTATAGGAGTCCCAGTAGGAGACAAGAGAGATAAAGGGTCAGAAAAGTTATTTGAAAAAATAATGGCTGAAAACTTCCCCAAATTGGGGAAGCAAACAGACATCCAGATCCAGGAAGTCAGAGAAATGAAAACAAAATTAATCCAAAGAAACCAACACCAAGACACATGACAGAATGTCTAAAGTTAATGACAATGGGAGAATCTTTAAAAAAGGAAGAGAAAAATAACATATTAAGTATGAGGGAGCCCCCAAAGACTATCAGCAGATTTCTCAGCAAAAATTTTGCAGGCCAGAAGGGAATGACATGATAAATTCTAAGCACAGAGAGGAAAAGAGCCCTTCCAACTGAAAATACTCTACCTGGCAAGGTTACCCTTCAGAACTGCAGACAGGGCTCCAGACCAAAAGAAAAACTAAAGGAGATCATCAAAGCTAATCCAGCCTTACAAGAAATGTGAAGGGAACTTTAAGCTGTAAAGAAAGGGCATTAATTAGTAACAAAAAAAACAAGAGTATAAATCTCACTGATAAAAGTAAGTATATTGTAAAGATAAACAATGTATAAAGCTAATGCGAAAGTTAATAAGAGTGGTAAAATAACTAAAACTATAATAATTAGTTAGAAAATAAAGATATAAAAAGTGACATTAAAAACAAAATGTGAGGGGAGTAAAAAATGTAAAGATTTAGAATGAGTTCAAACTTAATTTTCTAATAACTTAAATTAGGCTGTTGTATATGTAGGCTGTTATACGTAAGCCGCATGGTAACCACAACGCAAAAACCTATAGTTGAAACAAGAAAAGATGAGAAAGGAATCTAAGTATAACACTACAGAAAGTCATCAAGTCACAAGTTAAAAAAGGAAGAGGAAAAAAAGGGAACGAAATGAACTACAAAACAGCCAGAAAACAATGAAAAAACTGGCAATAAGTATATAATTATCAACAATTACTTTAAATATAATTGGAATAAATTCCCAATCAAAAGACACAGAGTGGTTGAAAGAATAAAAAATTAAGACCCCATATACCATGCTGCCTATAAGAGATGTACTTCAGATGTAAGGACACACACAGACTGAAAATGCAGGTATGAAAAAGATGTTACATGAAAATGAAAAGCAAAAGCAAGCTGGAGTAGCTATATTTATATCAAACAAAATAAACTGAAACAAAGAACGAAATGAAAATCAAAGATGCACATTACATAATGATAAAGGAGTCAATCCACCAAGGAAATATAACACTTGTAAATATTTATTTACCCAATGTAGAGGCACCTAAGAACAGACATACCCAAAGAGAGAAAAAACAATACAATAATAGTAGGGGAGTTTAATACCCCACTTAAGCAAAAGGATAAATCATCAAGAGAGAAGAATCAATACAAAAATATCTACCTTAAATGACACATTAAGTCAGATGAATTTAATAGATATTTACAGAACATTCCAACCAAAGGCACCAGAATACATATTCTTTATAGAACACATGGAACATTCTCGAGGATAGATCATATATTACACCACACAACAAGTCTTAGTAAACTTAAGAAGACTGAAATCATAATAAGCATCTTTTCCAACCAAAATGGCATAAAACTAGAAAGCAGTTTCAAGAAGAAAACTGAAAAAAAAAAAAAATATATGTGAAGATTAAACAACATGCTACTGAACCATTGGTTCAACAAAAAACCGAGGTGAAATTAAGAAACACCTTGAAACAAAAGGAAATGCAAATATAACATACCAAGATCTTTGAAACACAGCAAAAGCAGTTATAAAAAGGAAGTTTAGCTCTGGCCGGATTGGCTCAGCAGTTAGAGCACTTGCCCATGGACCCTCTGGTCCCAGGTTCGATTCCCTATAAGGGCACGTACCTCAGTTACATTATGTCCCAGTCCCGGTTGGGGCCGTGTGGGTGGCAAACACTCGATGTGTCTCATTTGCATCGATGTTTCTCTCTTTCTCTTCCTCCCTCTCTCCCTCCCAGTCTATCTGAGGATAAATGCAAAAATGTCCTCGGGTGAAGATAAAAATAAATAAATAAAAAGGAAGTTTATAACTCACACAGGCCTACTGAAAAATATGAGAAAAATCTAAAATAAACACTGTAACTTTACACCTAAAGAAACTGGAAAAGGAAGAACAAAGTTAGTAGAAAAAGAAAAAGAAAAATCAGAGTGGGAATAAAGACAATATAATAAAATCAATGAAACTAAGACCTGCTTCCTTAAAATAAATTTATAAACCTTTTTCTAGACTTACTAAAAGAGAGAGAGAGATTCAAACAAATAAAATCACAAAAGTTACAGCTAATGCCCTGGCCAGAGTTGCTCAGCGGTTAGAACAACTCTGCCCACCCACTGAAGAATTGTGGGTTCCATTCCCAGTCAAGGGCATGTCCCCAGCCCTATTAGAACGCATGTGAGAGGCAACCAATCAATATGTCTCTCTCATATCACTGTTCTCTCTGTCTCTCTCCCCCTCTCTTCCTCCCTCCCTCTCACTCTAAGAAAAATCAATGGAGAGATGTCCTCGGGGGAGGATTAAAAAAAATTCATATGATTCTATCATTAGATGCAGAAGAAGCATTTGGAAAAATCTAGCAACCATTTAGGAATAAAACTCTCAGCAAAATGGAAATAGAGGAAACATACCTCAATGTAATAAAGGCCATTTATAACAACCCATATCATACTCAATGTGAAAAAGCTGCAAGTGTTTCCCTTAAGGTTGGTCACAAGACAGGATGTCTGCTTTCACCACTCTTATTCAACATAGCACTGAAAGCCCATCCACAGCAATCAGACAAGACAAGAAATAAAAAGGAATGCAAATTGGAAAGGAAAACGTAAAACTGTCATTATTTGTAGATAACATGATACTTTATATACAGAGCCCTAACCATTCCAGCAAAAACTACTAGAACTGATAAATGAACTCAGTAAAGTAGCAAAATACAAAATAAACATCCAGAAATTAGTTGCATTTTTTTAAAATATATATTTCTTAAATTTTTTTTTTAATTTTTTCTTCTTCATTGACTTTTAGAAAGAAAGGGAGAAGGAGAGACAGAAACATCAATGAGAGAGAAATATCAATCAGCTGCCTCCAGCACGCCCCCTACTGGGGATTGAGCCCACAACCCAGGCATGAGCCCTGACCAGGAATCAAACCAGGGACACGTCTTGGTGCATGGGTTGACCTTCAACCACTGAGCCACACTGGCTGGGCTCAGTTGCATTTTTATACAACAATAATGAACTCTCAGAGAGAGAAACTAAATCACAATCCCATTTACAATGGCATCAAAACAAAAAAAAGAAAAAGAAGATACATAGGAATAAATGTAACCAAGGAGGTGGAAGACCTGAACTCAACGTCCAGCCAGTATGACTCAGTGGATTGAGCATCATCCCATGGACTGAGAGGTCCCAGTTCAGTTCCAGGTCAGGGCTCATGCCTGGGTTGTGGGTTCGATGCTCAGTAGGGCGTGTGTAGGAGGCAAACAATCGATGTTTCTCACATCAATGTTCCTATCTCCCTCTCAAAAAAAAACCTTATACTCACACACACAGTATTGTGATCACTGGAGGGAAAAGGTGGTGGAGGGAGGTAGGAGAGGGTGTAGGGGGGATAAATGGTGATGGAGGAGACTTGGCTGGGGTCACAAACACACAATATGATATGCAGATAATGTGTTATAGAAGCGTACACCTAAAACCTGTGTATTTAATGAGCTAGTGTCCCCCCAATTCCAAAAACCTTTTAATAGTAATTTTTTTAAAAGTCCAGGAACAGATGGCTTCACTGGTGAACTCTCTCGAACATTCAAAAATGATTTAATATCCATCTTCCTCAAAATCTTCTAAAAAACTGGAGGATAGACTACTTCCAAACTCATTTTAGGAGGCCTAAATTACCCTAATTTCAAGACCCAAAAAGGACACCATAAAAAAGAAAAGTACAGGCCAATATACCTGATGAATATAGGTGTAAAAATCCACAACAAAATAACAGCAAACTGAATTTAACAGTACATTAAAATGATCATACTACCATGATCAAGTGGAAATTCCAGGGATGCAAGGATGATTCAACATTCACATATGAATCAATGTGATCCACCATAATAACAAAATAAAAGATAAAAATTTTATGATCATTATCAATAGATAGGGATAAAGTACTTGACAAAACTCAGTATCTGTTTACAAAACAAAATTCTTAATAATTAGTAAGTGGGAATTGACAAAACTTATCTCAACATAATAAAGGCCAAATATGGCAAGCACACACCTAACATCATAGTCAACGGTGAAAAGCGGAAAGTTTTTCCTCTAAGACAAGGAATGAGATAAGGAGACCCACTGTCACCAGTTTTATTCAATATAACGGATGTCCAGACAAAGCAATTAGGCACGAAAAAGAAATAAAAAGCATCCAAATTGAGAAGAAAGATGTAGAACTGTCACTATTCACATACATGTTTTATAAACAAAAAACCCTAAAGACCACTAAAAACTGTTAGAACAAATAAACAAATTCGGTAAAGCTACAGGGTACAAATTCAATATGCAAAAATGTTTCTTTTTTATACACTAACAATGAACTACCAGAAAGAGAAACTAGGAAAACAACCTCGTTTACAATTGCATCAAAATAATAAAATACCTAGGAATAAATTTAACCCAGGAGGTGAAAGACATGTACTCTGAAAAATATAAGGAAATGATTAAAATAAAATAAAATAAAATAAAAGACACAAATAAATAGAAAGATATTTCATGTTCATGGACTGGAAGAATTAATAGTGTTTTAAAAATCCCTATTACCCAAAGCAATCTACATTCAGTACAATCTCTATCAAAATTTCAATGACATTTTTCACTGAAATAAAACAATCCTAAACTTTTATGGAACCACAAAAGATCCCAAGTAGCCAAAGCAATCTTGAGAAAGAAGAACAAAGCTGGAGGCATCATGCTCCCTGATATCAAACTGTACAAAGCTATAGTAAGCAAAACAGTGCGGCATAAGAACAGATGCACAGATCAATGGAACAGAATAGAGGGAATAAATAAACGCGTGAATATGTGGTCAATTAATTTAAGACAAAGGAGGCAAGAATATTCTATGAAAAATAGATAACCTCTTCAATAAGTGGTGTTGAAAAACTAAACAGCAACATGCAAAAAATTAAACCGGACCACTCCCTAACTCCACAGAAAATAATAAAGTCAAAATGGACTGAAGACTTAAACTAAGACCTGAAACCTGAAAACTCCTAGAAGGAAATGCAGGCAGCAAGCTCCCTGACATTGGTCTTGGTGATGATTTCTTGGATCTGACTCTAAAAGCAATGGCAACAAAAGCAAAAATAAATAAGTAAGATTTCATCAAACCAAAAAGTGACGGAAACAGCAACAAACGAAAAAGATTACCAACTAAATGGAAAATATTTGCA